ACCTTCTTGGCTACAGAGATCCTAGAATAACACCTATCTCAGAGAACATTCTGCAAAGGAGGAGCCCTACTGGGACAAAGGCGAAGAACTGCCTTCTTTTTCTTTTTTAAAAGGTAAAAATGATAAAATATAGGGTATGACTCAAGTGGACAAAACAAAATAACAAGCACCCACACCTTTATTGAGCACTTACTAGATGCTAGGGTCTGTGTGTAAGAGCTTGGCAAGTATTATGCAAGTTACTTCTCTTGAGTATATTACAAGGCAGAAATTTTCACCACCCAATTTTAAAGATGTTGATATTTTCTATCTTGTTCAGAACTGCAGAAGCTTTAAGCAGCAGAGGCAGCCCATGACTCATCTGGCTCAGGGAGCACAGATGAACATGGAATTGGCCTGAAGGCATTGCCTGCTCACCCTTGTGCATGATCTCTCGTGGCTTTGGGGGAAACCACAGGGAGTAACAGCTTTTCCCAAATTGGACCCCAAGAGCAATGCTGAGAGCTGGGTGGTGCTTATACCCCTGGGGTCAGAGATCAAAGGATGAAGCCTAGAAGACAAAAAGGCAGAGGAGACCAGAGAGCTGTGAGAATCAAGGTCCTGGTGGAACTGTCATTTCTGACTCCTATGATTTTACTGCCAGTCTTGTCTGTGACATTTCTATAAAATGTCCAGTTTGTGATATGAGGACAGTGGGGACATGGAAGAGAAACCACATGGCCATGGAGGCACCTGGCATAGAACTTTTCTTCTATGGTTAGAGAAGGGTCTACATGTCCAATATCCCAAACAGATGTTGAAGGAACCATGATCTAAAAACTCTTAACAAATCACTCACTTAATTTTGCCAATACAGAAACATCCACAAGCATACATTTCGTTTTGTCAGGGTAAAAATAGCTATAAGAATAATTCATGCATGTAATGTTCTCATCATCTATGCCCTATGTAGCTATGAATTAATTCTCATAGGACACAACGAGAGAATACAATGGCAATACCAAAATGACAAGTTTTTTTCCAATGAAAGAAAGGTTACCTCTTTACAAAAAGCCCTTACTAACATCTCTTTGGATCCATCCCAGAAATACAGGCACTTGGGATGGGAAGGACATCTAAAGGTGAACTAGCTATATTTTCCACTGGATGCTTGAGTTCCTTCCACAATGTTCCTGAGCATGGGCACCAAGGAGATTCTCAATACCCATATAGCAGCAAACCCAAGACCATTGGAGAGGGCTTTCTTATACTATGCCAAAGTCTGTCTGTCTGTCCACAGGTTTAATCCTTCCTCTGCAATTCTGGCTAAAAAAACTTCCCCAGCAGAGCTCTTCAAAAATGTAGATCTCAGTCATTTCTTCTTCACAGCTGTGGATCATTCTGCACTTAGAAAGCAATCTGATCCTTAAGGCATAGCTGTTTTATTTTTTATCATTCTTGTTTTTAAAGATAAATTTATTTAATCCAAATTATTCCATGATGATTATTCCTCCAAATGATCCAAACTGTGATTTTTTCAACCTGTATTATCAAAAGCATTGAAAGCTGATTATAATCCACTTGCCTTCATAGAAAAAAAGGATAAATTTTAAAAAATGATGCTTAGAGAATCTACTTGGCCAACAGTATCACCAGCGATCATTCCATATTTGCAGCCAACAGACAAACCAGGAAGAACTGGATGCACACTTTACCACTGTCCATGGTCTACTAGAGTCTAAATGGGTAGCTTTCAAACCAGAGAACTGTGCAATCATTTAATCATTTAGGCACAATCTTGTATCTTATAAAGTGAAAACCGAGGTCCAGAGGTCCTAACTCTTTTTACTTCCTTCCACAATGTTTACAAATTCTAGGTGCTCTATTCCTGGCTGTGCATTGAGGATACCAACATAATCTTGCACCCTCAGGTCTCCAAGCAAGGATTTGCAAAGCAGTAAAATTCTAGGGATTTAAATTAGGTGGAACACAGCATTAAGATGACTCAATGACCAGCATTTTACACCTTACATAATGAACTCAGAAGACAAAATCTGTTTCTTTTGTCTGGATTTTAACAGTCCCTCCAAGCAGAATACCTACTCATTGTTTGGCAAACATAACCTTTGGACTTGGATCATTCCCCAGTACTTTCTTCCCTGTAGCTGCTACCTCCTTTCTTCTCCCCTAAGAGCCCATATAAATCACAAGTATTTTTTTTAGATGAACTACATTCATCCTTTCTGTGTCGATCTTCTGTATCAGATAGGGTACATTGCTATTGTTTGGTTTTACTTATTTTAGTCTAGCTCAGTTGACACAAAACTAGGTTTGATGAATTAACAAATAAACATTTCCATGAAGTCCTATCAGTTAGCTGGAGTTTATGACATACAGGAGAGAAGGAATCCCATTCTGAGGAAGCAGCATGTGGAGGTACAGAGCTTGAAAAGGGTGTGGAGCTCTGAGAGAGTACAGGATGGTTGCAGAAGTAGGTGAGATTCTCATGGTGGCAATTCAGGGTACCAAAGGTGAGGGAGGGAAGAAGTGGCTGAGGACAGGACTTAGGGGTTAGGTTTGGGCCATATTTGGACAACCATATAAGCCAGGCTTCCCCAACATGAATTTGGTCATTATCACCAGAGGAGCTGGGGACCTTGTCAGTAAGAGTGGCTGTGGTTCACTTGTGCAAAGGCAGCTCAAGCATCTCATCTGACATGAGTTCCAGTATGGATCACACATCTACCAAAGCCCAGAAGAATGTGGCCACTAGCGAAGGCAGCCTTGCTGGGTTGGTCAAGGAAGGCCAAAGGGATATACATCTCTTTACACCCTTCATACTGCCAAGTTCTAGTCAGTTTCTGCATATTTGTGAAAGCCTCCAATGCAAACAAACAAAGAGGAAACCAAATTAATTTAATCCTCTCCAAGGATAAATAGAGTATGCACGCACTGCTGCTGAGCTTGTAGGCTAGACATCAGAGACCTTTGCTTGCTTTGCAGTGGTACTGGAGTCAGAGTCTTGAGTCTTCATATCAGTACAGGGGAGAGATATTCTATTTACATATGAAAGAAAGCATGCTTCGTTAGTTAAATGTGATAGTCACCTTCATGATGGCATAAGTATGTTATCATTGGAAAATTATACCCACACTTTCTTGATAAGAAAGTGCCCCATCTCTTTCTTTGGACATATTGATGCTAGAGAACCGGAATTACTTTGAGTATCCCACAGCTTCACGCAGGTACAAGGGCTTCTGAACTTTATTCATCATTTTTTTTAAGAAAGCAGCATTGTATAAGCTACATCTGCCTACCAATCTATTTGCCAGAGAGGAAATATTTGAATAATGTGGTTATTTTTTCATCAGTCTTCCAGAAAGTCTAGAACCAAAGCAAAACAAAACAAAAACGAACTCTTTTAGTGGAACACAATCCTAATGGAAATATCTGGAAACATCTGTTTTAAATTTCAGGAAAATAGAATATTCTCTATCACTCATCATATAAAAATCAACTTATATTGAACGAAAGACAGTGAAACTATGAAATTAGTAAAAGAAAATATAAGGGGAATGACTTAGAACATTGAACTGGGCAAAGATTTTTTTGGATAAGAACCTCTAAACACAGCCAAAAAATGGATTACAGGCAATGGGATTACAGAAAACTAAAAAGCTTCTGCATAACAATGAATACAATCAACAAAGAAGAAGGAAATCCTGCAGAATATGAGAAAATATTTGTATAGTATTCACCTGACAAGGGATTAATAACCAGAAAATATATAAAGAACTCAAAAAATAGCAAAAACCCCAACAATTTCATTTAAAAATGGGCAAATCACCTCAATAGATACTTCTCAAAAGACATGCAAATGGTTGAGAAGTATATGAAGAAATTCTTAACTATTCATCAGAGAAAAAAATGCAAATCAAAAGCAAAATGAGATATCTCATCCAAATTAAAATAGTCATCATCAAAAAGACAAAGGACCAGGGGTTTAGCTCAGTAGCGTAAGTGCCTGTCTGGCAAGCATGAGGTTGCGAGTTCAATCCCCAGTACCAAAAATAAAAATAAAAAGACAAAAAAAATATTAAGTGCTGGTGAGGATACAGGTAAAGGGAAAAATCTTAAATACACTTGGAGATGATATAAATTAGAATAGTCATTATGAAAATATTATGAGGATATTTTTACACTTCATGGAATGGAGAAGCCCAATGTTGTAATAAACATATAGTGAAGTTGGTCTTCAATAATTGTTTGCTGTGGCCCATTAATATCATGAGTTTAGGTGGACTTTATAGCAACAACATTGGTCCAATGGTGTGGATTTCTGAAAATGTCTTACAATGCTCTGTCAGCATATTGTTCTGCTGAAATTTACTGGTTGTTCATTAGATTCTTTGACATGGTGATGACTGGTCTCTGTTACCTTGGTGAATGGCCATAGTAATTTGTGAAGACCTTTTGTTTTAATTACTTAATTCACTGTCTAACTGAAGACCCTGAAGCTGAAAGCATAGTGGAGATCTCATTCCAGTGCTGACACCATGCTGTGTGCCTTTAATGAGAGCATAAATTTTTTAAAAAATTAAGAACACTTTATATGCAAAAATCATCAAAAAAAATTATCATCACCAATTGGTTGACTAATGGCTTCATACTCCTCAGCATGGGAGACTTTAGTTTATGATCAGAGATTTCATGCAGTCATGGTACTGATGAGCAACCTCATGTTTCACTCACCATTTAAATGCTGCAAGGTCTAGATATTGCTGAGGACAAAGACCACAGACACACATGTGAACAAATGACTTCTACATCAAAAATGGTCCACTTCATAATCTATCATATCCCTTCTTTTTCCTAGTTTATAGAATTCTGCAAAGTAAGTAAGGAACAAATTGCTACTCAAATAAAGGTTGAAAGAACTTAGGACTTTCCTGGTCCTGATAATTATTCAAAGTATACAGGGAAAAGAAAAGTGTAGAAAAAAAATGAAGCTGTCAGCTCACCCTCTTCCTCAAGTTGTAGGTGAGAATCAGGTTTCGGGAGAAGGAGTGAGAGAAGGCAGTGTAGAATTCCAGAACTTTCTGCAGTGCATCCCGTTTGATCACATGCAAGTCACAGTAGGTCAAGGCCCTAACGTTGGCACAGGACTGGGCAAGGGTGGCTTCCTTCCAGAACACATCTCCAAACACATCACCTTTTCCTAAGGAGAGAAAGTCATCAGGAGAAAAGGGTCAGGCAGGAAGGGTCTGGCTATCCAGTTGTCTTCCTTCTCCTCCTCAGAACCACTGCCCATTTGACAGGCTGGGCTTAGAAAAGGAAGAAAGGATTTTAATTGGAAACTTAACAACATGCCGTTTACAAAACTAAAATATCACATAATACACACCCAAGGGAAACAAGTGGATGTGGAATTAGTAATATCGCCTCCTCAAGGGGTCATTCCAATTATCCCACTGAAAAGGACAATTTTTACTCTTTATAACACCTTCATTTTACTATAGCACTAATCACAATCTGTAATTATATTATTTTCTTGTTTACTGGCTTATTGTTAGTCTTTGAACAAGTGAGTTCATGACTCTGCACAAATAGTACCATAGTCAGAATGCAATTGACGTTTGCAGGCAGAAGGAAAATTATGAGAAAAAGAGGGCTATAGGTCTCTATCAGTAACTAACTGAGAGCTAAGAGCTTAGGCTACTGGTGGGGAGAGGTAGACTCTTCACCAGAAAGCTAAAAATAGGGAAAGTCTCCCCTATCTACAATAATCTACATGAAAGGAATCAGGCGAGTGCAGGCTTCAGCCCTTACCCTATTTGCCTGCTGCCCCTAGGCTTTTATTTGTATGGTACTCCCCCTCCTCACCCCCATACTTTTTCTAAAACGTTGTGTCATACCCTTATTAAATGACTTCTTAGTAGCATAAAATTATAATCCCTATATAATGGTATCTTCCAGATCTTCTGTCTCTACCATTCTACAAACTCATTTAATAAATCAAAACAGCAATGTTATTTCTCCCACCTCCAGTCTAATATTGAAATCCTTACATAGTGTAACAGTATCAGGAGGCAGAGCCTTTGAGAGGTAATTAAGTCACAAGGACGGAGCTCTCATAAATGGGACTAGTGCCCTTAAAAAATGGGACCTGAAGAGCTTCTTGTACTCTTTCTGCTGTGTGGAAACACAGTAAAAAGTAGGCAGTTTCATCAGAGCTTTCATCAGAATATGGCTATGCTGGCACTCTGATCTTCAACTTCCAGCCTCCAGAAATGGGAAGAAGAAATTTCTGTTGTTTTATGTGTTATAGTTGACATATGGATGCCCCAACAGCCTCATAGGCTCATAGGCAAGACTTTCACAGAGGACTGGACCAGGGCAGTGCTGCTGGCTGACTCACTGTCAGGAAGTGAAGTCACTGAGGAGTGACCTTGAAGGCTGTATCTCCCTTCCTGGTTGCTCCTGTCTCTCTGCTTCTGGGCTGTCTTCTCTCCTCCACCCAGGCCTTTCCACTATGGTATTTGGTAGGTTAAGCCTACCAAACATGGACTGAAACTTCTCAAACATGAGCCAAATTGAAACTTCTCTTCTGTTAAGTTTTGAATGTCAGATACTGCATCCCAGTGATGAGAACATGCTAAGATAATGTACAGTCTATAGCACTTTGTTATGGCAGCTCACACTAAGACAAGCACTAGACCCACACACCCTGGACTGGCTTATAGAAAATGCCTCTAAAAGTCTACTTTTCATACTTAAGGATATTCTTCCTACCTTCTCAACCACCATTTTACTGTATGTCTAAGGCAAAGCCTAATTTATTCCTGGCACAACCTCTGGTTATAAATAACTTACAATGTTTACCTTGCCCCTAAATTTTCAGCACAGATAAACACATTTGCATCACCAGGGAGCCAGAGAGGCATATGCATAGGGAAGGAAAAATGTTACTATATTCTCAAGGAGCTGTCTGTGTGTCCAGGTCAGCTAAGCTCCACTGCTAGAATCCAGGTACCTATGACTCATTCAATTAACACGACAGCTATTTTCCTGATTAAGGCTAAAGATGTGGGTACATTTTCAAGCATATGTACAAACTTGACTTTTCCCCAAACACCAAAATATATCTGCTGTAAGGATATAAGATATTCCAGATACTCAGCCTTCTCTATATACCTCTAAAATGTGAGCAGAAACCAAATGGACTGGGTACATTACAGTTCTCATGTGTTTAGGGTTTTAATATAAAAACAGTTTTATTGACTTGATACAAGTATGGGATAGTTTTTAGCTGAACATGTCTTTTAAACTATGCTATTTAGATTCCCTTACCAAGTTCCCTTTTCAAACATCTGTAATATGGGTTCACTAAGTAAGAGCTGGGGTCAGTGTAGGGGAGTATTTCTCTCTTTGGGATGCTAACTGGTTGCCACAGAAACAGATTCATTCAAGGAGTGCTCTCTAGAACTGACATCTAACCTGCAGTGCTGGCCAATTCATTTGCATGTATTAAGCATCTTAACTTTTCAACACTGCCCACAATGACTAGTGAGCCCTTCATATTTATGTAGTCTTACTCCTCTGTGGGATGCTTTTCCTCTGAAATAGTACAATGGATAGTTTAAAAACAGGCATCATCTATTCATTTCCCCACTGTATGCTGCATATCATCAACAGGTGAAACCTAATTCCCTTCCCCTTGAATAAGGGCTGACCATAATGATTTGATCAATAGAATCTGGCAAAAATGATGTTCTGGGATTTAGAACAAAGCAGTAAGAAGCCTTGAAGCCTCTGCCTTTCTCTCAAAAACACTCATCCTGGGACTCTTCTTTCATGAATCCAATTAACATGTGAGAGGAACAAGCCAAGCAAGGGGCCACATGTAAGCTCTGTGGTTCACAGTGAAGCTGAGTTCACAGCTCTATCAGCTTCAACTCTAATCATGGTCCAGACCAACAAAGCCTTCAGATGACTGGAGCCCTGCCCACCATCTGGCTACAAATATCTGTGAGAAGCCCAAAGGAGAACCAACCAAAGTTAACTATTCAACTCATAGAATGCTAAGAGAAATAACATTATTTCTTAAACTGCTACATTTAGGGTTCACTACACAGCAACAGTACACCAAAATACACAGAACCTTGAAGTGTTAGGCCAAGAAGCTCAAGAAAAACTGCGTAAGAGATCACTGAATATTCCAGCAGAACATCACAAATCAGCCCAGCTCTGACACCTTACATCCATCCCTGAGTGAAGAAGACAAGAAGGTACAAAGTGTAGTTCTAACAAGAATGGGTTTTCCTGCATATGCACTTGAGTATCAGTGAGAAATGTACTGCAGTTATAAACCCGACATCTCTTTTTAGGGTTAAAGCCAAAATAATTAAACTAAAACTGCCGAGGGTAGAAGCCTATTGGTCATTTTGCCTGATTCTTAGTAAGATTACCTTCTGTAAAAAAGGCCCAATACATGAGTGCTATATTTCTTAAGTGCATTTGGAAATAGTTTTTCTAATTATAGAAGAAACCATAAAATAAGATAATAGCTCTTCACTTGCATTTAACATATAAATTAGAGGGGCTGGGATTTAGCTCAGCAGCATAAGCGCTGCCTTGCAAGCAGGCAGTTGTGAGTTCGATCCCTGGTACCGATAAAAACAAAAAAGACCAAAAAAAAAAATATAAATTAGATGTAAAAGCTCAGTTTATAAATAACTCTTCAGGGGTATATTTATTGCAGAAAACAAGGTAAAATCATATTTCAGTTATTTTATACACTGTGGGATAAATGGGGCTTAAGAAATGACAGCCTTCTTGTGGTAAAAGAATATTTCCAATCAAAAGTTTTTGCAAACAATAAATGGAGTGTAGCTACTACAACAAAAATATTTCATGGAAAGATAAGCAAAATTAATCCATAAGGTCTAGGAACTTCAGTGTTGTCATAACTTGTATTTGATTTTCAACCCAAATTGAAAATCATGCAATCTTACTTCCTATCAAAGCAGCATTTTTGTTATGAACTATCTTTTAGCAAGACCAAAGAATGTGGTTTCAGAAGACCTGTCAGAGTCAAAACAAACCTAAGACTATTCTGGAAAATCAGAATGTTTTTTTATGACACACATAACTTGGGGAAATTGTCAAAAGGAAGGATACAGAGCAGTTGCTGGGAATGACTTCCCAGGTCAGAAGTGAGAATCAGAAGCAAGGATGCACCTCTCCCTCTTATTTGCTAGTGGAAGTGATCACTCATTCAAGAACAAAAGGTATCCCAATGCACTCAGCAAACTACTCGCAGCAATCAGCTTTACTGATTTATTTGTTACACTGAGGCAGAGTCCAGAATGTTAAAACCTAATGTCCAAGTCTCTAAAACACTAACATTCTAAGTGAGGGTTCCAAGCTAGGGAAGGAAGGGGGTGGCAAAAGGTAGTCTAATTAAAACTCCAGGAAAACCTCTCTGTCATAATTGATCATCCTGCTCCCAGGACACAGAGCTGTCTTTCCAGGATCTTTACTTCTGCAATAAGTACAAACAATAGGCCGCAGGGGAACTGCACAACACTTGCAAACATGTGGGAGGTGGAGCCGGAGATGAGGGGAGCAGGCACAGGGCGGGCATCTCTCCAAGGGACACGGCACAGGAGGACAGGTGCCTCTGCAGCCCACTGGTAAAGGTAGAGAGTGGTGGAAGGGGAGCAGGGAGGGAGTAGTGGGATCCAGGTTAGGAGGGTTATGTGGGTGATTCAGGTGGTGTCAGGATGGGGTTTGGAAAGGATCACACAGCCTTCTGGAACATTAAGGAGTTGTGGGAAGTATTCAGACCTGAACCCTACTGGGTTTGGAACTCTTCAGAGCAGGCCTTGTTATTCAGATATCTGATTGATGAGCACAAATGAATTTTGTAGATGCTTCCCCTAACAGTTCCTCATTATGTGCTCCATTAAGGACAGCTCTCTGTGGTGTCCTGTACTAAGCAAGACAGAATTCCAAAGTGAAAGTCATTAACTGTTGTTAAGCATTTCCAGACTCCAACCAATCAGTGGAATCCAGTGAATCATTCATGTATCCTTCGCCAGGGCTCTTCTAGCTGAGGTCTCACAATAGACAACAGACAGAGACACTGGGAGCAGACACAGGTGACTGTAACAAATCAGGGAATACAACAGGGATGTACAGGAGGGGCATCCATTT